AAAAGGATGAAATAATTAAAAGAAAACACAGTTATAGCTTCCAAAGAAAGGTGTGTCTCATTTTTTTCCGAAGAAAGGAAAACTAAAGAGTAGTTGAGAAAATAAACCAACCAAAAGGCAGGTATTACTTCAGGTCTGATGAAGAACTCTAGAGTATTCTATAGCAGAGCTGTTACAATGTGAATGAAAAAATATATATAATACACCAATACTGAGCTGGATCAGGTTGTCTAGTTAGACGGCAAAGATTTTTCACTGAAAAAAATCACGGAAGAAAACTTGCAGGGTTATTTATTAAAAGGGAAAATAACTAAGCCTCGGAATGCATAAAAGTCATAAAAACAAAGAAATTTAAATGGGTAGAATTTTAGTGTTTAACAAAATAAAACTAGTACTAATTTCAAGGATGAACTAAGGAACCTATACTAACGGAACTTTAATCATATGGAAGACAGTTAATACAGACCACGATGAAACTATATGTAGCCCAGCAGAGGGAGCTGTGTCTCTGGGATATTGACAAGACCTGAAGCAGACTCCTGACTCACATGTAATCTCCTGTACTAAGCAAACTGTACAGCTCAGCAGGTGTTTCCTCAAGTTGCCACAGCCTCCCTGGGAGTATAGCTGTTCCCTGAGCTGCAGAGATGTAATGAGGTGGTGGTGGCGATAGTAAATGACTCACAATGAATGAAATCACCATTTACTCAGTACCGTGAGAACCCCACAGTCCAGCAGGATCCTATGGCTCTCTGGAAATTTACTGCGTGGGTGTGTGACCTGGATGCGTGTCACATTTCCCTGCTTTCTTCCACCTCTGTTAGGTATCATGGAGATTATAGAAGCCTACCTTCAGGATGATCACACTCATTTCTTGACAATTTTCTATCAGCTGTTCTGGGTCTCTTCCTGAACTGTGGTGATGTTGAGAAATGACACTCTCCAGCAGTTACTGAGCTTCTCTTTTTGAACTGATTCCAGAAGTAGCTTTGCCAAGATTGTAGGCTCTGATTCATCCAACAATTAACAGGCAGTACCAGGCTACTGTCACTTTTTTTCCTTAAATATAATCTTATCCTGGGACTCTAGAGTTACAAGCCTGAGGACAATGCTGAACACTACTGCACACACTATATACAGTGGTGTTCAACACAGTGAGACACATGTGGAGAAGCAAGACATAAACATGAGTGCCTGAGCCTGTGTATAAAACTTGTTCCGTGGTTGTGGGATCCCATGACCAGGTACTGTTGCTATCCTAATGTTGATTCTCCATAGACAAGAAGGTGAAGGAAAGCACTTGCCCTCATTTGTGTCCTAGTTAGAGTCACAAATGTGGAGATATTTGTCAACAATTGTGATAGAGATTTTTAGAAATATAGAATTCAAATATTTTATTTCTTCCTTAGATGTTTTAATTGCAAGACTAGAGTCAGTAGGTCTCCAGAGAGGAGCATTCTGGGTGGTGTTCTTTATACAATTAGATCAAAGTGAAGTAACTGTCCTTTCATATTTTCTAGCTATCATTTTATTAACTTTCTTTTGAAGACAATAAAAATACATTGTATAGTTTTTAAAAGTCATGAAATAATTTCTTTCTGACATTAGGTCAATATATATCCCCCTAAAGATGATATGGAAATGTGATAAATCTGAGTACCACTACATGTAATATTATTGATAGTTTTATAAGTACTATTGCAGATTTGTTTAGTCAGATGAGCGTATATTGAAGCATGGTGACACCCTCTTCCTTCATAAGATGGCTTTGAGGACAGACACAGGGACATAACAATGGATTGACATGTGAAGAATGACATGCATATAGAGCAGTGATCACCAAAGAGTGTTCCCAAACAATAGGGACAGTGAGGGGAAGAAGAAGTGCCATAGAGTGATTGGATCAGCATGTCTATTTTTGCAAGTCTGTCCTCCAGAATTCAGTGTGAGATAACACAAGTCAGGTTTTTTTTGGCAGGGTTGGGGGGGGGGGGATCCCTGAAGGAAATCTGGTTCAACACAACTTAGTCAGCCTGTGTTGGTTCAAACTTCTCATCTGACCCTGAGTTTAGTCAGATTTTAATCCACACAGTTGTCCCTTCTTACTGCCATTCCAGGGAACTAACAAACTAGGCAATAATTTGGAAAGTATTTCTGAATTTGCATACATTTCTGTGTCTTGACTCACATTTTATCCCTAAAGATATTGAAACATTGGCTCATATTTCTACATTCATGACTACAACTGAGCTCTAATATTAAGTAATTTTAGTCTTAATCCATCAATATTTTAGTACAATAAGCAAGGACACAGAAGTTTAGATTCCAGAAGATTCAATTTCTTCAATGGTGTCCTCCTGTGTATGTGTAATCATACAAGTATTACCTTATTATTGGAAATTTGATTTTCAGTACTTAGTGAATTTTATGACACTGAAGGAAATGTCCATCCTTTGTAGTAAGGAACTTAAAGAAAGTTAATCCTGTCATATGATGCAGAAACTAAAAATCAGGAAGTTGTTTTTTATTGCATTTGCTTGTAGGAAATGGAATATATAGGGGAATAAAGAAAAGTTTGTTTTTCAAAACACAAGAGTTTGTAGCCCGTTTGTATCCTGTGTTAGATCAACACTTGTTTAAAATCAAGGTGAGCATGAATATTGGATCTGTGGTTCTGAAATACAGTCTAACATCCTTCATTTCTAAAGACTTCCTACCCAAGAAACTTACATCAATAGGATCCAATGTATGCTTGTATTTAACCAAGGTTATCAAAAGCCTAGCTTCTTTCTCTCTTTATTACTTTCTTTGTTTCATTCTTTCTTCTAGCTTTATATTACGTTTGTCAATTAACATTTTGTGTTTAAATTCTTTACTTTTTTATTTTTTCCAGACAGGGTTTCACTGTGTTACAGTCTTAGCTGTCCTGGAACTCAATTTGTAGAACAAGCTGGCCTTGAACTCACAGAGATTCTCCTGCATCTCCTCCCCACCCCCGGGTTTTGGGATTAAAGGCATGCACCATAACTACCTGGAAGGTTCTTCACTTTAAAAAAAAATTTTTTCATACAATATATTTTGACCATATTGTTTCCTTCCCTCAACTCTTTCCAGAACTTCCTAGCTCTCTACCCACCCAAATTCATGTTCTTTCTCTTTTAAACAAAACAGGAAAAACAAAAAAAAAGATCAAAAGGGGAAAAGTAAATAGAAAAATATAATCAGACAAAATATAACCAAGCAAAACAAAAGTACGCACACACACAGACACAGACACAGACACAGACACACACACACACACACACACACCATGGAATCCTTTTACTATTGACCAACTACACCTGGCCATGGAGCCTGCCCTGGAGTGTTTTTGATATTTCAGTGATACTCCATTGGAGAAAACAGATTTTCTCTTTTCTAGAAGTTATCTATTACAAATAAATTCATAACCAATTGTATCACTCTTTGTCCAATTCTATTTCTCTGTACTGACATTTTGTCTGGTTTGAATCTGTGCTGGTCTTGTGCATGCTGTGCCAGTCTCTATGAGTTCACATGTGAATCATCCCTGTTATGTCTGGAAGATGCTGTTTCCTTGGAGTCATTTAGCAATATAGCTCTTAAAGTCTTTCTACTCCCTTAGCTGCATAGACCCTGAGCCTGGATGAAAGGAATTTGAAAAAGACAACCCAGGTAAACAGTTTCTTCCATTCTGCATAACTTAAATAATATATAAGCAAAGCCATGTGTCCTTGACATTCCTCTTGCTCATGCCCAATCCCCCAATGACTTCTTCTATCATGATTCATTAATTCTTGCCTCAAATGTAGAGGTGTTGCCTTTTCTGATCATTCATCCACCTAAACCCCTGTCAGTTAAATACAACTCTTTATATTAGATAAGTAATAGGCAGGTTTCCAAGAGTGTTTTTGGAAACCACCATAAATACTCATTCTTCGTGAATACCCTCTAATCCTTAAGGACAATTATAGGCCCACTGTGTTTTGTCTTCATCCAGTTAGTACATTTTTTCTATAGTTCTGTTTTGTTTTGCCATGTGATTTTCCAAAATTCATTATTTCTAATGCATCAAGAAACTCATGCAGCATAATATAGATGCCAATACTCACCAGTGTGACTCTATGGGTCAATCTTCTGAAGAACCAAAGAGAGGAGGGAAGATTAAGGGAGGGGAGTAGTAAAAGAGAAAGGAAGGGTGGGAGAAAAAGAGGAGCCTGGCTTCTTGAGCATTCCAGGAAGGGGTTCATGGAGTAATTTCTCTGTCTTTGGCTTTAGTCTGGAAAGCACATAAATAAAGAGATTTTTATACATTAAAGTCTAGCAACATTGGCTCTTAAACATAATAAAGCTGAGACAGCCTTAATACAGTTCCTCATGGTGGTGTCTGCAAACCATAATATTATTCATTGCTACTCCATAACTGTAATTTTGCCATTGTTATGTATCATAATGTAAATAACTGATCTTCAGGATATCTGATATGTGACCTCTGTCCTGCTGTTGTTGTGACCCACAGGGAAGGAACCTCAATGAGTTCCCATTGAGGAGAAGCAAACAAAACAATAGGGATGATGTAAAACCAGCCTCAGAGGAGGCAAATTCTTCTGACTGATCAGAGAGTGCTTTGTAGTCACAAACCTCAGAAAAGTCTCCTTGAAACAGACATGACAGACCTGAACCTGCTCAGTGGGAGTCCATAGGTGCCACTGAAGAATCTGGAGACTCTCAACTGAGAAAACAAACATCTGTTTGTGTCTGCTCAGGATTCAACAGGAACAGCATCTGGGGCCACTGTGGTCCCTTGGGAAGCCTCAGGCAGGAAGTGACACCCAGATTTTGGTGGCTCAAACACATATGAACAGATTTGGTTGACCAAGACAAATTTGCATGATGGGCCCTGTCAATTCTCTGAGAATTGTTAAAGGATAAGAGAGAGCCACACAATGTCTGTCTCAGCAGAATTCAGTTGTGTCTGCACCATGGCCTGGACTCCTCTCCTCTTCTTCCTCCTTCATTGCACAGGTCAGAAAGCATCTGCACCCTCATACTAGTTAGGACATAATATGGCAGCGAGATACATTCTGCCTTCTCCTTTAACCTTGGGACATAATGTGTTTCTCTGTTTCCAGGGTCTTTCTCTCAACCTGTGTTGACTCAGTCACCCTCTGCTTCTGCCTCCCTAAGAAGCTCAGTCAAACTCACCTGCACCCTGAGTAGTGAGCACAGCAGCTATACCATTAATTGGTACCAGCAACATCCAGACAAGGCTCCCAAGTATGTGATGTATCTTAAGAGTGATGGAAGCCACAGCAAAGGAGATGGGATCCCCGATCGCTTCTCTGGCTCCAGCTCTGGGGCTCATCGCTACTTAAGCATCTCCAATGTCCAGTCTGAAGATGATGCTACCTATTTCTGTGGTGCAGATTATAACATTGCTGGACAATTTGGGTGAACACAGTAAACTAGATAAATGAGGAAGCATGTCAGAAACTCTTTTTGCTCTCTTGCTACCAAGGCCAGCCTATGATTTTGAAAAGCAACTTCAGTGAAGTTCTTAGCTACCATACTCATTGGATTTTGATGGGGTGGGAGGATGTCCTTCTATGTATATGTTTCTCTCATTGGTTGATGAATAAACCCCTGTGGCCAATAGAAGCAGGGAGATAGCTGCCTGTAGCACTGGGTAGGAAATCCTGTAACAAAATGTTGCCCAGACATGGTTTGAACAAATTTCCATGTAAAATTTGACAAAAACTTCTAAAAACAAAAGAACAGAGGCAAGCACGGATTCTTGGTAGCAGCATTTTCTGGAGATAACCAGAGGTGAGCGGCTCCTTTAAGGGAGGCTTCCTGGCTCAGCGTAAATGGCAAAAAGGGCACAGCTCTTTTAGCAATGTTGTTTGACAGATAAAAGACTCATGGCCAGAAAAAGATAAAGATTTACAATAAAGACAGATTCAGATGAAGAAAAACCTCTAAAGGGTTTACAGTGTGTTTAAAAATATATGTGGGCTTGGAAGAGAAAAGAAAAAGGATATGATGGTTTAAAAAAAGAAATACAGAAAGAAATAGAGTTGCTAGGCAGTGATGGCCCTTGCCTTTAATCGAAGCACTTGGGAGGCAGAGGCTGTCGAATTTGTTTAATTCCAAGGCCAGCTTGGTGTACAGAGTGAATTCCAGGACAGGTAACAGTACACAGAGAAACCTTGTCTCAGAAAATGAAAAAATAAAAGGAAAAGATATAGCCCCCCCCCAAAAAAGCCACATAAAGTTGGAACATACACAGAGAGTCTGGATACTGTATGTTATTGTGTTATCTTTGAAAATTTTATTGCTGAGGAAAGAGAAACAGCTGATTTGAATATATATGCTGTTGGATTAATCCAACATATATTTTAAAAATGGTTTGACTTTTAAATTTAAGTCTAAGGATATGTTACTTTGGAAAAAAAGCTTTATTTTTGTTTTCCCAGAAAATGAAAAACTGTGCATTCCTTCTTGATCAAGAAAGCCCCCCTGAAGCAGTAGCCCAGGTGATCCAGCATCCCAAAGAGCTGAACCAATGCAGCCTCAGACTGCTACAACCAAGATTTGGTCAGGTTTCTGGGTTTTCTTGGGTTCCCCGTGGTATTGACCACGCTCCCAAACAGTAGAAAGCAGTTTGGAGAGAATGACACCACTATTCCCAAATATTGTTTATAAATGTTTTTTCCATTTAAATGTGGTTGGTTATAAATGATTAGTGAACACAGTCAATCTCTTTTTAAAGGAAAAAGGGGAAATATGTTATAGAAATGAATACTTTACATTGACATGGATTTTGGTTTATTGACACAAATTTTGGGTCAATTTGGTGATATGTATATTTCTCCTCTTGTATTTATACCATTCATTTAAAATGCAATGTATAATAAAGTACAGATTATATGTAACCACCTATAATAGTAAAAATTTATAGTTAGGTTAGTTAGATTTTCTAGATACATAGAGATATATTTCAAATGGATAGATATTCTTCAAACCTTTCAAAGAGCTACACAATCCGGCATTTTAATTGGTTTAGGGTTTTTCATGATTATGAGACACAATTGCTCCTGGCAAGACCAATTACATCAGAGAGGAAGATGGGCATCAACGAATCTTGATATGGAGTTTTCTTTCAATAAGGCGAGACTAGCCATTTGGGCAAGAAAACAGTCTTGCCTGTACTGTTTGACTGTATGCTGTCCAAACTAGACATACAGGACCCAAAGGAAAATGACTGAACTAGATGGAACAGTCCTTCAGGATTCCTGCTTCATGAAAGAGTCTGCCAGACATTCGGCAGGACACTGAGAAAAACCACTGACAAACTACCAGTGGAGGTGGGACACTTTCAAATTTCCTGCTTCACTGAAAAGTCTGTCAGAACACTGTGGCCTATGGGTTGAAGATGGATGCTCCAACGTTACAGAGGAACTTTGGGTGACTGACCAGGCAGTGAGATGTCTCTTTCAATTCTAGAGTTTATAAGTTATCCTTCTGAGATCTTTGGTGGAGTTGAAGACAGATAGTTATTTGGTTATAGTTTTCCTTAATTATGATAAAAGATAAGTTTTATATAAAACTTCAGACACACAAATATAGGATAAATTAAAGAATATTCTCTTAAAGCCAGTTATTGGTGGCTCATGCCTTTAATCCCACCACTCCAGAGGCAGAGGCAGGTGGTTCTCTGTGAGTTCAAGGTCAGCCTGGTCTACAGAGCCTGTTCCAGGACAACCTCCAATACAGAGAAACACTGTATTGGAGATGATAAGGGGGATGTCTTCAGTGTATATGTTTCTCTCGTTGATTGATAAATAAAACACTTTTTACCAATAGAAGCAGGGAGATAGGCAGGATTAGGAGATGAGGAGAATTCTGGGAGTGGCATTTGCAATGTATCCAGCCAAAGGAGTTAGAGGGCCAGACCATTCTCTGGTAAGATACGAACACATGGAAATACTTAGATTAATGGAAATGGGTTAATATTTCAGATAGAGATAGCAAATAAGAAGTCCTAGTCATTGTTCAACAGTTTCATAATTGATATAAATCTTTGTGTGTTTATTTGGGGCTCAAGGGTCACAGTACCAGACAGGATAAAGAACCACTTTGACAGGATTTTTTTCTGTTTATTAGTCAAGGGTATATATTGTAGGTCTATGAATTTATCCTGAACTTTTGAGGAAAGAGGAAAAAGGCACTGATTGAATAGAGTGCACTGCTGTGTCATAATGATGAATGTGTAAAATCAAATCTAGTGTATATAGCTAAGGAGGTGAGATTATTCTCCTTTCAAGTTAGATCAGTAGATCTAAAGTTCTCATTGTTGCTCACCAAAGTTTATAGGAATGTCTATTCTTTGTAAGAAGGCTTTCTTGTTTCAAGCTCAAAGTGATTTTTGTAACTCTTCCAAATTGGCAAGAAGCATTGTGTAAGAACATTTATGAGGCAGTGTGGTAGGGCCCTATTTACTCATGATAAAATAATAGAAACAGTCACAATGGTTGAGCATTGTCCTTGAATGCACATAAAATTCCCCATGTTACTCCTGTCACCTGCTCTTTACTTAGTAAGCCTTCCCAGAGATTTTGAAGGAAGTATAAAATGACCATCATGCCATTTAGACTCTCAAAATTTTTACACATGACCTTTGAGGGCTCTTTTTGTCCACACTGAGCATATCATTGAAATATCACATTAGACATAAAATAAGCAATGAAATTACAAGACACCATGCATGGAAGACAGAAACAACAAACAAACAAACAAAGATATCAAATTACACAAAACTCATATAAAGGTATCTTTATTCTGAAAGTATTAGGGCATCAATATTTTGTATATAATTACAGTGAAAAGGCCAGAATTACAGTTGTTTCTGGAGAAGCCTCTGAAACCTAGCTTGTTTAGCACAATCCCACATCAAGCCCTATAGGCTGATAAGAGGTTCTGTTAGATCACAGACCAGAACCAGCAGGTCCTACTGGCTGATAGGAGGTTCTGATGGGTTTGCCCAACTTTCTCAGTCTTACTTAGAATATCATAATTTTTTCTTTTACTCTCTTATTGTTTCTGCCTTTAAGTGGCGACCAGAGCTCAAAACTGGCCTTCCTCTCAAACTTTGTGCTTCTTCACTACTCACCCAGCGCTTTCTACCCTATCAAGTGGCTGATTGTCCAATGAATTAGTTACTGTTAAATTACATTGTTAAAATTCCATGACAAAGGCAAATCATAGAAGGGAAAGTTTATAGGGGGATTATGGTTCTGCAGGAATAAGAATCCATGATGCTGGGAAAGTCACAGGCAGGCAACAGGATCAGAAGCTTGGGACTCATGTCTCAAATGTCAAGAGGGCTATTTTGTGGGACCTTGAAAGTTCAAAGCTCACCCCCAGTGACTTAGTAATCCTTCAGTGTCACACAACCTAAACCTTTTCAATCATCACCACTAACGTGACCAAGAGGTAAAATGCCAGGACCTATAGGGAACATCTTCATTCCAACCACAACATCTACCATGCACAAACAGCATGACTTGTTTTCTTTCCCATCTTTATTCCCCCCCTCTAGGTAACTGCCAAGATTTATGCTCTGTCTTCTTTCAATTCTCAATTCTTTTCTTTTAAGGTTGGATAAAATTGTCCTCAAGCTTCAATATGAATTTAGGATGGAGAAGGAGATTGGAGGAGAAGGTGAGAGGGAAAGAGTGGAAAGACAAATTGGGGAGGGATGAACAACTGAAAAAGATGGGGGAGGGAAAGGGAGAGAGAAAAAGAGGATGATCAGCATTAAATCTTTTGGCTGTGTCTGATGTCATACAGTAAGTTTTTGAGGGAAAAGGCAATAACTGAAGCTAGGACATACAAGACCACACCAAAGTGAGAAAGGCACTTTATACTATAACAGTATATATCCATGAAGTATCATGAAAGAGGCACTAGGTCATCATAACATACACCCTTGATCATGAACAGCAGCAGTCTTTGTTCTTTAAATAGGCTTTCCCATAACAGATGCATTATGTGCTATCCAAATGTCCTCTGTCCTGTCTTCCTCAACACATCACTTCCACTTTCTTTTTAAAAAAATTCTTTAATTACTACTAATATTTATATATGCATCCCCCCATTTCCTCTCCCTCTCATCCTCCCATGTTGCCCACCACCCACCCAACCTGTCCCCCAACTCATCCCCCAACTCATCCCCAGGGATAGTGAGGCCCTCCACCAGGAACCTTCAAAGTCTGTCAAATCATTTGGGGGAGGGCCTAGGCCCTCCTTGCTGTATCTGGGCTGCAATAGTATCCCTACATAGGGAATGGGCTCCCAAATTACATTTGTGTTCTAGGTTTAAAGACTAGCTCCACTGTTAGAGGTCCCATAGACTGTCTTGGCCTCCTAGCTTGCACCCACATTCAGAGGGCT